TTTATTTTAAGCTGATGTTGGTATCTGGATTTGTGATTTGGTAATAGATGTATGGGAACAGGAAGTGAAAAGGACTGGAGAGGGAGGTGACATTTTTCCATGTTTGAGGAGGCTTTCCTGAAGTGCTTCAGAGCTATGGGAAAACAAGGTGGTACCTACACCTTTGAAACTAACACGACAAAATGTTCCAGCTCTGGGAGAACTGGTAGGAGCTGAAGTTCAGGAGAGTTTGTTGTATGAGCAGAACACTTCTGCAGAGCTGATCTCTCATTGTTCTTATCTCTGCACACACAGATGTCTATGTTCCAGAGTAATCTTACGTTGTTGTGGCAAAATAAAGTGCTTGCACTGATAGATGAAGCTCTGGCAGCATTGGCAGCTGCCCAACTAAAGAAACAGAGGGGTGGTGATGTTATGCTGAGTTTGTAGGAGTAGCCACAAGGAGCAGCACAGGCTACTAAAGTCTGAGCTTTGGGACACTTGTGTGCCGAGACTAGAATTCATATGGTGATTTGAGCCTTAGTCTACACTTCTTAACTTGTTGCCTTAAAGGAGTATTATTTGAGGCTAAGAAACTATAAAACTACTGCTGGGATCAACTGTACCCTGACAGTGCCTTATACCAAATAAAAATTTGACTTAACAGACATAGAGCATCAAAAGGAGGGGACTGATGTTGAAGGTTTAAGCTTAGCATGAAGTTGTGTAAGCAGCAGAATATCAAGAGCACTTTGAAAAAAAGCCTTTGGCTTCTGATGGCTGAGGGGAAGGAGAATGGTTACTTTTCAACAGGTTGGAACATTTTAGTAAGGAAATGGTCTGTGAGTCAGAATCCTCCTTTCTTCCTCTGTTTACATGTACAACAGGTTGCCTGTGACTGTCCTCTAGGGAAACAACAACTTGTTGGCCTTGGCACCTTCCTTGTAGCCTGTATTTCAAGGTCACTTAGCTCTGTTTCTGTTGACTTTCACTGTTCTAGGGAATGTAAGGAACAGCTTGTTCAAGTGTTTTTGCTAAACTCCAGTTTTTGACTATTTAGTATAACTACTCAAATTTCTTAAGTCTGAACACTCAGGCTTTACTATCTGTGTTCATTTTTGGGGAACACTTCAGAAAGAAGTCAGGGACTGAAATTCAGGTGAATTTCTGCTGTCACAGAACTGTGCTGAAACCGAATGTCTTAGGTAGGGTGGACATTCAGTTGGGACTCAGCTGGAGCCAAATGGCATCAATAGTAGGTATTCCTACAGTTCTACAGGGACATCAGTTTTTGGAAGTAGAAACCAAGAACATGTACTGAAAGTTATTTTGATTGTGGTGTGTGTTTGGCCTTGGGACTTCTCTAGCTACCCTTGACTTGTGCTCTTTGAAGAAAGGTACAGCACCTCTGAGAGAATGTGCTGGTAATGGCAGCAACCAGGCATTACCAAGTTGTCTATTAATTTGAAGTAACAGATAAACTTGTTTGCACCTTGCTCTCTGCAGTGGTTTTAACTTGCTTAGAGAAAGCATGAGCTGGATTTTTCAACAGAAGCCCTTAACCAGAGTTACACTACTCTCTGCCCATTCAAATGTTTCCCTTAGGAAAAAGCTTAGAGACAGACCAAATTATCAGATAAAAACATTTAGAAAACAAGGATTTATTTTTTTTTTTCTGAAAGAGCTCCAGTGCACATTTACTGTGAGAGACTTGAGGTTGAATGAACTGAGAGGGTTCACACCAGGATAATTGTAGAAACTTGGGGAAGCAAAGTATACCACATAAGTGTAGCTGCTGCCTGTTGTAAAAGTTCTAAAAAGCTGAGAAATTGAGTTGTTTGATTTGCAGTAACCAGTATAACACCATTGGTACAGTTAAATCTTTAGCACTGTATCATTCCAGAAGAGTCAGTAAATTATTTTAAAAGCAGGCTGCTTTTCATTTTTATGAGAGGAAACCTCGATGACACTAAGGTTTAGTTCTAGAAAACTGTATCCTCACCTGTCCAGAAAAAAACTGACCCCAAGGAGGGTTAACAAGGATTGAAGCATGGTTCTGGGTTACAGTTTTGCTTCTGAATGGGTGATCTTTTATTCCTGTTTTGACCTAGATTGCAAGAATACAGAAGAGGTGTGACTTTCAGCTGCTTTAGGGGCCAGAGATAGCTGCAGAGGCACAGGGGTTTTGTGTTATAGCTTCCTGAATTAAGAGTGCATGTGACTTGTTCCTGCTGTAGAGCAGGTGCTTCACCTGTGTGTGTTCTTCAGTGCACTTGGATTAGCCAATATTTGGAGTAGATACAACAGCTCAGCTGTGGTGGCTTGTGCTGCTCCAACTTCCAGTCCTGGGTTGCAGCAATAGAGAAATGTCTGGAGCAAATTACCTAGTTTGAATTACACCTTTTAGATTTCTTATCTACAGTCTGATCACCTGAAAATTTCCTGTTTTTTCCTTAAGTAGTGTAATTCAAAGCCTTCTACTGCAAGCTATGAAAATAAAGGCCTTTTAAAAGAAAAAAACAAAACAAAAAAACCACCACAGAACCCTCAAACTCTTTGTGCTTTATCTTGCTATATAAAATTGTGTGGGTTTTTTAGTGACTGCCAGATCATAAAGTGGCAACTTTGGGGCAAACCTGGTGGGTGTCTTTGACTGAGTCTGTTTTCCATTTTTACAGGGTTGGCGTGTTGGAGGACACCTTCACCTGTCTTGGTGTTTTGTGTGCCATTGTATTCTTTCCAATTGGGATTCTGTTCTGTCTTGCACTGAGGCAGAGAAGATGCCCTAATTGTGGGGCAGCTTTTGGCTGAGGGAATGAACGTGGACGTGCTTATGGAAGCTACAACTGTTAGCATACTCTTTCTAATGTAAATGTCATGTACAATCATTTTATTTGCTTCAGACCTGTTTTGTAAAGTGTGAAGAAATTTAGTCTCTTGCATGTAATTTAAACTTAATCTTTTATGAGCATGTGCATTGCAAAACATGAAAACCCAACTTGTTTTCCATGTTTAGTGGCACCTGTTGACAACTAAATAAAACTGCTTTTCCTTTTGCAATCCTCAACTTGTGGCTGGATTATTAAGTATGTGACTAACATGTTTGATAGGGTGTAGTCTGAAAGTGGAGTTAGTAATCCTAGCTACAAAGACTGATACATATTTGTCAGAATTTTGATGATAAAAATACAGTTTAGCACTTGTGCACTTTTCTAAGCACATCAGATGCTTTTGAGGAAAGTGTTGCAAGTGCTGTGTGTGCTACCCCTGTGCTAAGTGACTGTCTTCTGAAGGCACTAGTAGTAACAAAGAGAAAGAGCCCTATTTTAGTTAGTGAAGGTTTTGCTTACAGGGACACATGTGACCTCCAAGGACTGCAGTGGCAGTGTCCTGTCTGCTACAGCAGAAGTTTCCTAACACAGTGGAACTCATGTTAGTTCACGGACAACAGCAAGTTCTGCCTGGGGTAGGGCCCTCTTCTCTAGAAAGGGAGCCTGTGGCGCTGCCATATATGAACTGCACTGCATGGAGATGATTGCATTTCAGATTATTTAATTCTGATACTGAATTACTGAAAGTTTGTAGAGTCTAGGCTGACTTGCCTCAAGTATGCTTTAGAAAATGGGCTTAAGTGAATAGCTGGTGTTTCAAAATGGGATAATGGATACTTATAATGGATACTTACTTACACAAGGTTCCATAGCAACTGGAGTGTCCTCAATGTTGAACTTTAAAGGCAGCCTGAGCAGAGGAGGTGGAATGAGTGGACTTTACCTCTGCAGCCATCACATGCTCATATACTATTTTTTGATATTAAGTAACTGAAAGGCATTTCACATGACTTTAATTCACTGTTTATAGTAGTAGAAGCAGGCACAACAGAATTAAATTCCATGGGCAGCATGTACATATGTAAAGTAGAATGATTTAGAGCAAGGATTAATCACTGACAGTAGTTACCATACAGGCTTCTTACAGTGGGTGGGAAATACCACCTGAACTGAGCAGTGATGAAGCACCCAGTGCTGATGCAGAGGGAAGGGTCAGTTTCTAACAGTCTTTGCTAATTTCTGAGATAACTATAGGAAAAGTCTTTCAGACAAGCTAGCTCAATTTGATTTAGAAAATCTGGGCCTCAGGTAAAACATACAACTCTGCTTGTGACTGAAGTTCAAAGTTCTGTTTCACAACTCAGATGCTGTACTATGCCAGCATTTATGCCACTGTTAGGCTCCTTAAACAGTCTTCTCAATCTCTTTTTCTTTTGTGGAAGGCTGCAGTAATGGAGTAAGTGACTTCAAAGGCAGCTCTTTATATTAGCATTTGAGAAAAACATCATGGCACTGTTTTATTATGACTTCTTATAAGGCTAAAGTTTGACAATGTGTTTTAAAGAAAAATTATAATTGAAGAATTTGTTGACAGTACAACATTAGACTTAAAATAGGTTTATATTAACACTTGAAAACTAGTATCTGAACATTAAGCAAAGCATTACAAGTTGTCTAATCTTAAAGGATGTTTATTTATAACCTTGGGTATCTTTCTTAAACAAAATAATGTATAATCACTTTATACAAGCAATTCTCTATTCTGGAATAAGGCAGTTGTTAAATTGTTGTGTTTGAAAAAAAATATTTCTTTTATCTATTAAGTGGCATATGCAGGCTTATATTCTAGAACTTACCATTGCAGTTTCCAAATAATGAATGCCAAAGATTCAGATTTGTGAGCTATGAGTTACACTGGTTTACTAGAGTATCCAGACTATCTCCAGTATTTTCACAATTCCTACTACAAAAAAGGCATACTGTAAAATCAAGCCAAAGTGCTTAAACATTAGCCCAAAGCAATTACCTCATTAGCAAGTATAGGTTTTAAAAAAATCAGAATCCATTCCAGTATGATTCTATTATACAATAATTACACTTAAATAAATCTTTAGAACAAGTTGAGATAGTAATTGTCACTACTGAAAATGGTGTTTATAAGGAGGAAGTACATGTGCACGGACCGTGTATTCATCGAATAATTGGTGCTGATCTGTCATTTGTCACTGTTGGTCTGAGTTTCACGGTTGCAAAAGGATTTTCTCCACTGAAAAGAAATACACAAAATTACCAGAAGGTTTGCTGCAGTACAGAAGAACATTTAAGCCATCTACTTTCTTCATTGAAGTTGTCTGAAGACTAAGTTATGACAAAAGATTCTGTGCAACTCTTTAACTTGAAAGTTTTCAAACAAGCTTATACAGGAAAACACTTTGCAGTGATCCAAAAGTTGGGAAAGTAATGCTGAGTTATATCTGGACATTTTTTTAAAGAGCTCCCAGTCTTGAAAGTTTCATGGTGTGTGTGTTTGGGTTTTTTTTGGTTTTGTTTGGTTTTCTCCTTCCTAATCCTTAATGACATACTTTAACTCCTGCTTACTGTCAAACTTCTGGAGAAACTTATTTTTCTGAAAAAGGTCTATGCATTGTATATACCACTTGATGCTACTCTTGAGGAAAGTGTAACCAATTCAGGGAAAACTTTCTTATTTCCCCTAATAATCATTACGATAATACAAGCCAATATAAAAATCAACACAACAAAGTTAGTATAAAAGCTTTAAAAAAGATACCTTAGAAAAGGTGGTTTGATAACGCCATTCATATCAGGTTTCTGCAAAAGAAAAAGATATGTAGACAGATTTACAAAACCATGCTGCAGGTGATGGTGCTGTTAGCTATTGCTAATATTTCACAGCACTGAAGCTGTCACAGCTACGTGTACAAGGGAAAG